CTTGTGAAATTCCAGTACCAGAAAAACACCTTCTATGCGATACATAATTTCATGCATGTTTTCCGATACCCTAAAAGATCCACTATGAACTTCAAATCACTCTTTATGGGGACTCTTTCTTTGTATACAGCACCACCTATTGGCGACTTTTGTAACTAAATGTGAAACTTCTAATCTAATTTTTACAGTTGTCCCAATAAACAAACCTTTTGTTTCATTCTTCTATCAATCTTTGCTTTCGATTTATTTAATTTTAAAAATGGGAGTCCTTTGTGGGACATCATGTACTATAATTTACCCTTAGCACAGCCAATATGCAATACGTGGATAGCTTGGAATTTTCTTGAAACACACCTGGAAACGTTGGGGAATTTCATTCTCCTGTTTAAGTAGCAACCCTGGAATAATTTTATATGTATTTTGATTAATGAGGCTGAAAATTTGAGTTTAAAACTCCTTAAGTTAATTGACAAGTGGCATGTATGGTATACAGTATGTTAGTCTCTACATAAAATAAGACTCTGTGTGTCTTTCATTCATGCTGTGCATTAAGCTGATAGGCCCAGGGCTTCGAAATTTGGTATATAGGTGCATCTAGACAAGATCCAGTGCACCTTGAAGTGATTTTATTTTAAAATTCGAATCAAATTATTTTTTAAAATTTTATCGCATCATTTTGAATAGTTTCATTCTTTTAGAAATGTAATTTTGGCAGCAATTTTTCACTCAATTTTATACTGAACTGCTGACTGTTGAAAATCAGCGTTATTGCCACTTGGAAAAATGAGGGCGATAATTCTGTGCAGTTTTTAAATTTAATGTTTCTCTTGGATACTGGACGTTTGTTGAGAGAAGGCAACGGGAAGTTGGTTAATTTATTTATTAGGATAATTAATATTTGTATTAAGCGATATTGTTTATTTCATTGTAATTTTGTTATATGCAATACATTTTTTTAAAAAATTTGAGCCTTTTTTTTTTTTTTTTTTTTTTTTGATGAAGTTGTTCTGCAGAGTAAAATTCTGCATAGTTTTTAAATTTAACATTTGGTGTTCCCTTCAGGCATTTTTTCCAGTACATTTAAAAGCCAGACGAAGGCTGGCCCAGCTGCTAGTATAGTATACAACAAAATTATGTAAAGTGTACTTCAAAATATTATAATATGCATCAAAATGTTTGCTAGTGTTTCATGCTGGCATTATTGCTTTGAAAGTTAACACAGTAATAAGTATTCTTTGTGAAATTGTAAGAAATATAATGAAATACGTATCCGACTATCAACTAGAATTTCTGGTAAGGGCTATTTGATTATCAAAGTTTTGTGCTTCCTCTCCTGAAAAAAAAAAAGTGTCCAAACTGAAATGTGGTGATAATTTTTATCCATGTTTTAATTTTCTCCAACTGAGTACCAAAAACTATTCTCTTTCGTTCTATGTTGTGGAGGAATGTAAGGAATCCTAGATATTCACTCTCTGTGTTGTTGCAGTATGGTGGTCATTATGTACATCTAGCAGTTTGAATATTCAGTCTGATTTGAAATGAGGGCAGTTTATGTTTTCATATTTCCTGCCCCCCCCCTTTTTTAAGACCTACAAAACACCAAGCAGTTCCTCTCTTCCCTTTCCTTCAACATACTGATGACGGAATGCATGAAGTTTATGGTTTACATTATATATAGTGTGACTGTGTTATGAGTTTCTATTTAACAAATCAAAACCTCTGTCACAAGTATATATTTTAAAGCTCATTGTCTTTATAATTAACTGGTTTTTGATCATGAAATTTTTTATTTATTTTGTTATCTTTGATTCTTTATCATCTTTCACTTTTTATGTTCCAAACATTATAAAATATTTTTTTAAAAGAAGTGAAAATACTTTGTTCTTAATAGAGTTAAAATTATAATATGTTTTCCATGTAGCAGTATCGATAAACAAAGCACTGAATTTTTTCCCTTCAAATTGAAGAAAAAATTACGTGCAATTAAATAACATGCTTTAAAAATAATTGGATTAGATTTTTCTTAAACAATATCTTTAATTTTTGAGTCCCCCTAATTTGAAAAATTTTTAGCATAAAATTAATTTCTGAAATTTTTATGTGAGAATCATATTAGTCATTTTATATTTATATGGGGTTTCTAAAGTTGGGCAGAAATCTGATGATCGATTTCGAAGCAATCGTATTCACAAGCAGGAAAATCATAGTTGGAAATTTTAGCTTGGTAATGTACATTTGTACATTAAAAAATAAAAAAAAAAAATAAAAAAAATACAAATTTTAGCTTGGTAATGTACATTGTTTTTAATAACACAATAAAATATATTTGCTAAACTAACCCTTCTTCACCAATGTTTCTATAAAAAGTATAATTCAAGAATAACAATATTTTTTATTGCATTATTCAGATTTTTCATGACTGGGAAAGGAAATTTTAGTAGTGGGAGGAGAGAAACGATTTTATAAAGGAAGGAATGTAGCACGATGTGTTGAGTAAAATAGTAATGAAACATAAAGGTATTAGAAATTTGAAAGCATTAAGAATAAGAAGAGGGAGACTGGAAAATGAATATCTTTAAGTATGCAAGAAAAATTATTAATGATGTGAAAGTGTTCAAAGGAACCCAGTTGGTTAGATGAAGAAGCTTTACGGATAATGTTTACTTAGGAACATGGCAATTCACTGCAAACTTAATATTCCTGAAATTCAGCTTACGTTGCTGAAAAATTCTTTATGAAAATCCCAGAAGGGACAAAACAGGACAATTCTTGTATTGAATTATGACTATGAAAGTAAGAAAAAAATTGCGAAAGGCCGATTGTGGTACTAGGTCACCTGAATTTTTGTTTTAATCAGTCTCACTTGTTATGTATTTATTTCTTTTCTTGTTCATCTTGTCTTTTTGCTATGCATTATAATTTTCTATGTATTTTAATTGTCATGTATCAGTATTGTACACCTACATGCTCATCCAGAAACTGTTTTGGCAAGTAAGGCATTTCTTTTACTGTCAATAATAGCTTTTCTGTCATTAATTGCTATGTAATCACAGCTATATTTTTGTGCACTTACTCTTCTACTTCAATGGTTGACAGCTTTAGGTGTTACTCTCGATCGGACTCTTTATGTGTTTTCATTGTTTATCAGACTTTGCTGTCTGCGCTGTACATTTCATTATGAACTGTGACTTTGTGTTCATTCTTCTAAAGAATTATTCGGAACTCGCACAGAATCGAAAATCGACACTGCATTATCCCGGGTTAGCAATCACACACAGGAACCCGTCACAGCAAACCTCTCATGTTTGCTTGAGCTGACAATTTTTGAAGATCTCATATTAAAATGTAACTAAATGACCATCATACTTAGCTAAAAAAATTATTTTTTCCTTTCAAAAATTATTTCATATTCTTCAACTTGAAATTTCAATGCTTTTCCAATTTGGCCAATATATACTGAACAGCACGATATATATCAAACTATGCTAAATTACATAAGATCTAAAAGCACATACTGGATCTTTAGGAATCGAAAAAGGAACTTGACTGATAAGTGAAAAAATGACTTAAATATTGAACTTATGGAGAAGTCGAGAAATTTTGTAATTGATAGTAAGTTTAAATACTTATTGAGTATGTGGCAGCTAAGCGTCACTGTCTGCTTAATGCCCTGTTGACTGAATGTCTTGACAGTTAAATGTCCTGATGGCTAACTTTCTGTGTCTTGTTGGCTAAATGTCCTGTCTGCTAACTGTCCGTGTCAGCTAAATAACCTGTCGGCTAAGTGTCCTTGACGACTAAATGTCCTGTCGGCTAACTGTTCGTGTTGGCTAAATGTCTGTGTCGGTTAAGTGTCATGTCGGCTAAGTGTCACGGACCCATATCAGATACCTAGTAATAGTAACATGTTAAGTTTATGGTATGCTAAACTGTAGTTTGATGTTATATTGTAAAATTATTCCAGGGCAGTGATATTCACGTGTTTTAAATGCAGAAAATATGAAAAAGGTATAATAATTTAAGGTTAAAAGTGTTATATATTCATACTGGCTTTGAAGTTTTCCAGGGCTGTAGTAAGTTTGAAGGGAATCTATGTCGATTGTAGTTAAAGGTAAATTAATACTAGAATGTTTAAATGACTCATTGTTGTAAGAACTTAATCTGTACTGTTTCATATCAATAAAATCTCATAAATTGCATGTAATTTAAAAAAGTATCTAAATTTAAAATCTGTCTAAATTAAAAAAAAAAAAAGTCTTGATATATGTACATGTCCTGTGTAATCAGACTATATTAAATTTCCCATGTTAACTGTTGTCCATAATGAAATGTGCCAACAGGGAGTTAATTAGCATCAAATTGGATCTTAAATCAAATTTTGGAAGAAGGCTGCTTAGTCTGATAAATCTAAATTTTCTGTTATATGGCATCCCCCCTTGGAATTGTTTATTGCATTGGCTGAGATATGCACTCTGTCTCAGCTTTCTGGTCACATCTTGTATAACTGATTTTCTAGTCATAATCCCATGGGTAGCATTGCAGACCATTCTTTTATTGTGTTTGGATAAATTTATACCCGAAAAGTGTATTGAGAGGGCATTTCCACGATAACAGATAGAGATAGATTTCAGGCCTAAATATTAATTGTCCTTTAGGGCTAACTTTTCTTCTAAGGAGCATTTCACTTCTAGTATGTATGGAGAAGCTCATAGTATCTTTTAGACAGAATAGAATGAAGGGAATGTGTTATTACAGTAAATGGCAGTCAGGTATGTGCTAAGGATAGCTGTATCATGCAATGAAAATTAACTGATGAATAATAACAATGCTTTTTAGGCATCTTATATTTTAAATTTCAGGATCTGATCTTTCAAGTATTATAAATGATGTGTATCACCTTCAAAATAAATTTTCTTCACTGTGTAAAAATAGCTGTTTTGTTATATTTTTAATGTGCTTGATTTCTAATATTTTATACGTGTACTATTTTTAATTTCCAGATATGTGATTTTGGGTTAGCTCGAGTAGCAGATCCAGATCATGATCATACCGGTCTTTTAACAGAATATGTTGCAACACGGTGGTATCGAGCTCCTGAAATAATGTTAAATAGTAAAGGTTATACTAAGTCAAGTATCCTTTAATATAATGATATTTTATTCTTTTGTAAATTTTATTAAATGGATGAAAGTATTTAATTTGTATGTAATTATTTGATTAGTCTGTATGAAGTTATGTGGTTTGTCTACATGCAGTTATTTGATTTGCATTTTTTAAGTAAGTATGTAGGAGAAAAAAGGAAAATATTTTGTACTTTTATAGTGCTTGAATGAAATGATATTCTCTTAATATATTTAAACATTAAAATAAGATTTTTAATTTTGTGAATTGACTATTATGCTTGCATACTAGATGATTTTAATATGTCCAATACATCATTTTTGTTTAATTCCATTGTTTTATCAGTATGGTATCGTGGTGTAGAAAGATTTTATGTATGTGCACAGCCTTCTGGCATAGTGTTTTTACCCTCTAATACATTTTTAATGCATTTGCAGTAAAATGAAAAATTTAAAAAGGAATTAATCAAATCTGTTTTCTCTTAAACTTCTGTGTAATTTAAATATTATTATTGCCATTAATATAAATTATATTTACTGTTTTACATGATTAGTCAAGTGCTAAACCATAGATTAGGATTTTTTTTTTTTTTTTTTTGGTGTGTGTGTGTGTGTGTATGTGAAAATTCATCTGGTTGTAGAATTTTCACTTTTTTTTTTCCTTTTTTTTTTTTTTTTTTTTTTTTTTTTTTGGAGAATAATTTTGTATATTTGTGTGAAATGGCAAGCTGTGTCTTAAAAATATTATTTTAAAAAGAGTAGTTTCTAAATATAAATTATCTGAAATATTTCACCTGAAAGTTGTTATAAAATATATTTTTTAGAAAAATATGAGATTTTAGATAAAATAAAGTATGTTACCAGATTTTTGAAGAAAATTTTTAACTTGGTATATTTATATAAATATGTAAGTGATGGTTTTCTTTTCGTACATCATGTTAGGTGCTGAATGATTAAAAAGAAAGAAAGAAAGAAAATTTCTAAATACAGTCAAAAGTCGTTAATCCGGACTCGTCGGGACTTCGGCGATTCCGTATTATCGATTTTTCCGGATTATAGATCATTAGTTTAAATCTCGTAAGATGACATGGAGAAATTCTAAAATTAAAAGTATGAAACCTTAATTTATGAAATAAAGAACAATTATAATCTAAAGGGTATCAAAATTTACACAAAAAAAAGCTTAATATTTATTTGTTTACTTTATTAAACATTTCTTTCAATGTAAGTTGTTTTAAGTTGCTTCGTTTTATGTGATAATACTTTCTCTTTAATTCTATAAACAGACATAATTTCTTGTTCAGTTACAAAGTTCCGCTGTTCAAGTCCCGTTAACCTTTTAACTGTCATGCCCGAGATAATCTCAGGCACAGCATTGGTGTTCGAAAATGTCACGCCCGAGTATTACTCGGGGAAATTTTTTTTGAGTGCATCGTATTGTTATACCCGAATATATATCGGGAGACGTTTATTTCGGCTTCATTTCTTTGTCAAACCCGACTGTATCTCGGGAAAAGTTAATGTGCGCTCAATTCAATAGATAACAGCGCTTTACTGAAGATTTCAAAGGTTAGAGGTTATAAGTTCTTTGGTTCAAAGTGCACGGGATCTTTTTGTTGTAAAATGGCGTCCAGTTCTTTGACGTTATATAGATGATTTAGATTCTTCAACCGAAGAGGAAGGATGTGTGTCTGATGAGCAGTATTCATTATACTTCAATGGTCAGCCTCAAAAATAAAAAAAATGAAGATATACTCAAGCCGAAGATTGTTTCTGACTACAGTCTAACTATGGGGGGTGTAGATTCGCTGTGATTCAAGGAAACTATACTTTCATCCAACAATCCGAAAAAACGTCATAAAAATATTGTAAAAAGATATTTTTTACATTTACTAGACAAGATACTTTGGAAGTCATATTTACTCTATAAAAATGTAGTTGGGAAACGTATTACATTTTTAGAATTTCGAATCCAAGTTGTAGAAGAGCTTTTACATAAATATGATGATGCAGCTTCTGGACAAAAGAATGTTGGCAGACCACCTACAATAGATAACCCTGCCCGTCTTACTGAACGACATTTTATTTCCTATATTCCTCCTACTCCTGTGAAACATGAGCCTACAAGACAGTGCAAAGCGTGTTGTTCGAAAAAGGATAAAAATGGGAAAAAGATAAGGAAGGAAACACGATTCTGGTGTAGTGAATATGGAGTTGAATTGTGCTTGGAAAAGTGTACCACACAAGACTGAATTACTGAACTTAGCCGAATAGGTATTCACTTTTATTTTTTTTTTCATTTATTTGTTTTTTAGAAAATAATTTGTTTCATTTTTAGAAAATAATGCTTCGCTAAAAGCGAACTTTACAACTGCCATATTGAGTAGCAGCCGCCTCAAGCAAATACGCAGTGGCTACAAAACTTTAAAAATTTTACCCATGTACTTCAAAATATCAATTTTTAACTACTTAAGTATATTTTATTTTATACTAAACATTTGATTTTTCCAATAAAAAAATTTGACAATTTGTGTACCCAAATCATCAAAATAACTCGACAGTTAAAGAGTTAATTGCTGTGCCGAGTATACCGACTAACTTGTCAATCGAAATTTTTTTCGTTTTCACTAACCTCTCTGTCACATTCTTCATGTCTTTATTCATTTTTTGCAGCAATTCCACTTTTTGTTTGATGGACATCGAAACATACTTTCGTTTTGTATGATCCTTTGGGAGCTCCAGAATTGGAAATTCTATTTGACATAATCGAAAGTTCAAGTTTACTTTTATAAAATTGTTCTTACAGTCTGCAAAAAATAATAAGCCGGATCCAATTCGAAGATTAAGGAACAATGCAATCATCAACATTAACTGAAATAGATAATTAGATAATTTTAGATTATACCATCCGTTATACATAAAATGCGCACGCGCATATACGCAGTGGTAAAAGGTCTTACGCACACGCGTAAACGCCTATGCGCATGTGTCAACGCGGCGCATACGCAGAAAGTTTTTAGCTTTGAGGTCTGGATTATGGGTGTCCGAATTAACGACTTTTGACTGTATACATATTAACATTTTTAAAATTCCATTTTAAAGTTTGTAATCCATAGCCAATGAAAACAGGATTTATATAAGCATCTCAATAAATATCATCAGAATTTTGTTATTTAAACAGCTTAATGCCATTCATGCAGATAAAAACTTTTAGCATACATGTGTGTGTGTAGATAAAAGGCTTCTATATGTGTGAGTAGTTATTGAAATAATGGTATCGACACGAAATTTACTGTTAATATTATACAAGACAACCATTAGCATATCATATCACTTAAATTTGGGTAGAAGGAGAATTTAAAAAATTAAAAATGCCAGTTGAGGAAATATTAAAACATTTTTCTTGGAAAAATCATGCATCTTCCTTTAAAGATGATGGTGTTAAATATTAATTTAATTCTAAAACATACCAAAGTAATTAGATAATATAAGGTTGTGGAGGGGGAATATTTTATTTTCAGTTTTTTCTATTTCTCATCCCATGATGTTACATGTCTAGATGTATGGATAGCAGCATTATCATTCAGGAAGATGGCTATCTCAGGCATTAAACAATGTAGCAAAGGATGGATGCGGATTGCTAAAAATTTTGAAGTAGCCCTTAACAGTCACTTTTAGACTTACAGTAAGATCTACAGGAATTAATGAGACAGCTGCCCAAATCCATACACTTCAACTGTTCACCAGTTCTGCACACCTTCTTTATGGGAAAATATGTGGCTACTGATTTGTTTGACCAAATTTCATTTCTGCACTTGTCAAGTGACTCAGATCTGTGTTTACAGCATCAGTGTAGATGATATTTAGTCTTCATATGCATTGCAAGTAGGTTTGGAATCATTATTCAGTTACAAGATATTTTGTTTGTGAAAGCCCTTCCAAACTGTTATGTTTGACCCTGGCACTTGCAGATGCAGATTGAGCTTTTTAGACACTTTTGTTGCTGTTGTCATTGTTTTTGTTATTGTAATTCATTCTTTTGCTCCCTCTTCTGTCACAAGTTTTCTTTTTTGTCTATTGCTGTTTTGCAGATGTTTTATTATGAAATTGCATGCTGTCATGATATTCAGTGCTAAGTCACGAAATACCTTGTATAGTGACAAATGCCTCCACAGCAAGTAATAACAGTTTGCTTTCTATACAAGTAAAGTCTAAAATCATAACACCATGCATACAATTGCAGGGGAAAAGTGAAATAAGTTTATTATTTTGTGAATTAATTCAGAGCATGCTTTTATCAGTGTCTTAATATTCGTAGGTATTCCGCGTATGTGTATAATATAAAATGAAACCTATGACATGACCACTTCCTTGACAACTGTCTTTGAAAGTGAGAAGTATTCCGAGAATACAGTGATATTGTTCATCACCAGTGTTCTGCTCATTTCCAAAAACACATCGATACTAAAAAACAAATATTTTTTTTATTATATTTGAGAGATTTCTTTCTATTTGTAATTGTATATTATGTAGTTTTCGGTTATAAAATTAGACAAAAAAGCGACTTTGAATATGCGTGGATTCGAAGTTATGTCATTTTGAAAAAAATTACTTTTTTGGTCCAGTTTTTATTTTTGTGTGTTTTTCTTATTCTTTTTCTAGTATTTCCCATTGAATCTGATATAATTTATATTACTTCAGTGATTCATTATAATAATTTTTATTTATAGAATGGATGTATAATTTTTTCTCTGTGTGAAGTGAATGTTATATAAATCAAACTGAACTACATTTTGATAAAAAAAAGGGGGGAAATACCTGACCTTGGATTCAACAATTTAACACAAATTATACATAATTGTAGAGGACACTGAAGTAAAGGTGTTTGTAAAGGTACAGCATATACCAAGTGTTTCAGAAATAAGCAAGAAAATTCTGGATATCATTTATATGAAACCTAATGGTACAGTATTTAACATAACTGTTGCAGAAGTCTTTAATTTGAATATCACAGTTGACAGCATTTTTGGTCTGGTATTAATTATTGTAATGCTACTTTGTTATGAAAAATAATTAATGAAAAATATTTTTAAAAGAATAATGATTAAAAAAATGTGATCCCATAATTTTATGCATCACTTGTAATTTGTTGTAACTTATTTTACTTGAATTTATATACTCATTTGTTAGAGCTGCAGATAAATGGTGGAGGAAGTAATAGATGTGTTGCTTAGAACTTTCTCTTGACTTTCTTGCTTATTTTTAAGACATGCACATTATGCTTTCATGCATGTAAGGTTTCGTGTAGGAAGTTTGTGCTGTCCTCTTTTACTGAAGGTTCTTAATAATGTCATGTTCATTATCCTTTATTAGTGCATATATTATTAGTGTATTTGTATTTCAGTTTTTATATATGAATTTTCGCATATTATTTTGGTGTAGAATATTTAATTCTATAAAACGTAGTATTCAAACAACAAAACATTGTTTATTACAGCATATATATTTTCCCCTGCACTCAAATTCTCAAATAAACTTGCACTGGGTGTACTGGCAAAAGCATTATTAAATTCAAAAAAAGAGAAAAAGCAAGAGAAAAAATTATCCTTAATTTATTTTTAGTTGATATATGGTCTGTTGGGTGCATTTTAGCTGAAATGTTGTCAAACAAGCCTATATTTCCTGGCAAACACTGTAAGTATAAAATAGAATGTACAGGTACTTTACTTTTATATTAATTTTTTAAAATACTGACTCTATCTTCGTAGGAAAATGATTTTTGAAAATTAACCTAAGTCTTGTTTTTTATATTTTTTAGTTTTTAACTTTATGATTTCTTCTTTTTTGTGTTTAGTTTGTCTTGGCTTTTATTTTTAATTTTCAAATGTTGCATACCCAAGTTTCAAAAGTAATGGTTTTTACAGTCACCAAATTTTGAAGATCTAGCTGTGAGATTGCATTTTATTCACACTTTTTAAAGTTAGGGGAAGTGATGCATTTATTTCATCTCAGAATCTGTTGAGAATTTGGTAATTTACATATGTAATAACATTTTCTTTTTAATAAAGATAAATTTTTATTTGGAAAATTCATTTAAGTATCATTGAACAGAAATACAGGTAATTTTTCCCAGTTATATAGTAGTTTATTCTTCATAAATACTAGTTTCTGTTCATTTCATGATTCAGTCACTTAAGCTAATATTTTACGGTGGATATGTATAGTTTAGTCTAATTTACTGTAATGATTTTGCACCAAATTTCAGAGACATTGGAAATATCACATGAACCATGTTTATAAGCTTAGAAACATATACGTGTTAGGGAATATTTTTAAATGGATGATCAGCGTATAAAGATAATTAGATGTACATTTTTAAGGATATTTTGATGTAATCCTTAATAAAGTCTTAGTTGATGTATGGTCAGTGGGTTGTTGTTTTGCTGAAATGTTATCAAGAAGACCCATCTTTCCGGGGGCAAATTGTGAGTATCAAGTTTGATATGTACTCGTCCTTGTTCTTGTTCTGTGTTCATCTTGCATTTTGAGATTATGCATGCTTTTCTGCATTATATTTACTCTTAATATGAAGAAACATAACTAATTATGCATTTTAGACTCTAAGTTTAATTTTTGACTTGAAATTGACCATTGGATAAGTTCCTAGATATATGTAATATAAAGCTAATTCTTTCTTATTGTTTATTAAAAGCATGTGGAAATTAAGGAACTGGTTGAAGTCTCGTGTATATTTTGAACTCTGAATTTTTTATAGCATGGTAAATTAAAATAAAATTTGGGACATAATTGAGTTTTTAGAACTTTACTATGATTTTAGTATTTTAACCATGTATTATTGTAAATAATATGTAGTTATTTAAACTGCAGTAAACAGAACAATTTCAATTATTACTTTTATTTTTTCCCCTTTTCCTTATGTGTTATTTCAGTTTGTTGAGCAACAAGAGCCTTTAGTTTTTAATGGAATATGTGGAAATTAGCCTTAATATTATGGCCATCCCAACATTATGCAGATTGTTGAATTTGGAAGACTGTGGAATAAGACACAAAATGCAGTAAAGAAGAAAAGTAAAATATGATTACTGAAATCTGTTTTCAGTATTATTCTGAACATGGGAAATGTAAAAATGGCATATTAAGCAAGCCTGGGAAAACCAAAGTGTTGGTTGGCTGACTGGCTGACAAAGGTTTTGTAGTGCTGATGTTGAGTTGTATTTAATATTTTCAGAAAGTTATCAACTGGGAGAAAAGTCTGTGAACATCTAGCAAATTACAGGGTGGGTAAACTCATTGGTGAGTAGACATGACACACATAATCTGTTTGATACAGGGCAACAAGGGTAATATTATAATAAAACATTGTTTAATCTTAATGAACTCAACTGAATTAACTTTCATACATCAAACTAAATTACTTGTCTCATCCAAGTAAATATGTTCAAGAATTTTAGTTTATTCCCCCCCCCCAAGATATGAATGCAACAGAATATATAGAGTTAAGTTTTGAGTTGAAATAATAAAAGGCTGAATTGAAATAAAGAATAAAAATTTTGGCACAGAAAAAAAACCACTTTCTGAATTTTTATTGATGTTTTAATGGGTTAAATATGGTTGGCCAGTATCAGAGGATATTTTTATTAAATTCTGATGATAATTAAATAGTTTTCTGTCTATGCACTTCTGCTGATTTTGGTTCACCACCTTTATTAGGCTTACAAATCCCAAGACTGAGTGATTAGAAGAAAGTTAATTTGTTAGCTGGATTATATATGCCTTTGCAGTATTTGTTTCTGAGAGAAAATGCGAAAAACAAGATATACTGTGAGAGATAATGACAAACTTTTTGACGAAGGTTGAGGAATTCCTGTTTATTGTCAGGCAATGTATAAAATTATTTGACGTATACAGTCTGCTTAAATATCACTTCAAACTTATTATGTCCTTTTAATGGCAAGTTTAGTTTTCTGCTGGATGTTTAGATGTGCCTTATTTTCATTAGGGTAACATACCATGCTTATTCACCCACACTGTTCAAGAATAGTTCTTTGAGCATAAAGAATTGAAACTATATTCATATCTCTCAACTTCTGCTGATATCAGTTTAATCCATATTGTGTGTGTGTTGGTTCAACTAGTAAATAAATTTGATAGAGATTAGTTAGAGATGCTAGAAATGGTAAGACAAAAAAAAATCTTGCAACATCCTGGCTTTGCCAGAAATTCAAAAGAATTGCATTAGGTGGTTATGATATTTTGGATTTTTCATATAGATGTTTCATATTTCAGTAGAAATTTCAATTTGGGAAGGCTCATTTTAATCTATTTTGCTAGTTTTGTCCATATAAGTAAAATTTGACTTGCTTTTGCTATAGCAATTCAAGGAAACTGCCTTTACTCAGTTGCATTTTATTTTTCAAAATATTTATTATTTTGCTCCTAATTGTTATTTGTATTTAATGCATTTATTTATATTGCACTATTTTACTGCACTAGATGTTCTGCTTTCTAATCCTTTTTTGCAAAATCAATTACTTTGATGATTTAATTTTAGTTGGTAATATGTAACAGCAAGTATGCTGTAGAATTTAAATAGTTTTAAGAGTAGCATAAAAAAATATTTAAAAAATGGAACCACTTAGAATTTAGATTTAGATGGCTACAAAAATAAGTTTCACTGATCTTCATAAAATACTTAAATTGTTACCTCATTTTCCTAAGTTCATTTATGGGAGACATAGTGATATGATAGGCTAGTTTGAATTGAAGGTTAATTGTTAGTATAAAATAACTTAAGTGTGTTTTTTCTGTAATTATTAGCAAATTGCTAAAATACTAATTTATGATTATTAGCAAACTGCATATAAGTTTGTGTAACAGCTGCAAGAGTAGTGTGGCAACTTAAGATAAAATAAATGGCAAATTTTTGTTTTTGTATGCAAATAACCCGTCAAAACTTAAATCTTCAAGACAAAGAAATTAGTCTTCAGAAGTAAATAATTTTGCATGCTATGAAATGTTGTCATTATATAAGACTACTAAAAGTCTTAATATTTAAATAGTTAATCGAAGATAGCTTAATTGAATCTAATTATATAGATAGAGGTATCCAAAATTAGACTTAAACAGATAATTGTTAGTTTGTAACAGATTTTTAATGTTAAACTTCAATCTTCTGTTAAGTGCATAATTTTTTTCTAGTTTAGTGTATCTGTGTTTCAGATCTTGACCAGTTAAATCACATCCTCAATATTGTTGGTTCTCCATCGCAAGAAGATATGAATTGCATCATCAATGAAAAAGTATATCTTTTTTTTTTTTTTTTTTTTTTTTTTACTGAAGTAAAATTGAATGTACATTAATCTCATTATTACTTTTTATGAATTTATCAAAACAAATATGCAATTGAAAGAAATATATTTAATTTCAGTTGATATTGTGGTAGGATTAAATTAAAAAAGGGTACTTATATATTATGTCATTAAACGTGAAAGTTGGCTATCGTCAAATTATGGAAGTTGCTGGATATCCTGCCAAAGTTGCATCAGTTGTTCATATGGAATTCTGAGCCACACTTCCATCTGAAATTCTTAAATATCCTGAAATTCATTTTTTTAATGTAAGGGAAAAATAGAGCAGTAACAGTTAATTTATATCCTTATTCGTAAAAACAAAAGGTTGCTTATCCAGAATTGGTGAGGGTTACATCAAATGGAAAGTATAGATGTTACACGTTGAACATGATTGCATGAAAACACTGGTATTGTGACGTCCGGCTTATTCATAACTGGCTCTAAATTGTATGGTTTTGGTGACAATTTCACAGTTGACAGGATAGTAAATAAGTATCTAAAAAAGTTCATTTTGAAAATGCTAAGATTTGTTTCAGTATGAAATTGGGGGGGGGGAGTGTCCATCCATTCTATAGCAGTTTTAGCTCATTTTCACCTTCACAAGAAAGTTTTACTAAAATGTAAGCTTAAAATATTGGAAGAGCATTAAAATTTGAAAGATGTTTTGGTTATATTGTAAAGATAGCATAAAATGCAATTTCCATGGTAGAGAATCAGTCGGATTACATCAGTGTACAATACAAAGGTATATTTATGTTTAGCATTGGTAGAAATATGTAACTTAAAGAAAGTAAGACGAAAAAAGGTGTGTGTCATATAGTAGCATAATATCAATTATCAATATGAAAATTATTTTAGTTAAAATATTGTCATTTCTATTCTGTATGTAATTTTGTTTAAAATCTGCAGAATGTAATTTGACTGTCTTTTTGTGTCCATCTGTTATGCTTAACCTTTCAGTAGTTTCATTCTCTAAATAAACAAACCATTGGGCTGTTTCATTCAACCATTTTAGTATACTTTTATAGTGAATTAAAGTTATCCAATTGCGTTTTATGTCATTTAATGATTGTAGGTGTAAAAAATATGAAATCTTGAATAATTCAGATTTTTGCTGTAAAATTTTAAAAAAAGTGCGGTTTAAAATATTACAAAACTAATGATTAATTATTTCGCTGCAGTTTTAGATATTAATCTAAATGTCATACTAAGATAATTTTGGACATGACATCTTTTAGTAAAAATATAGGAAACTTGAATTTTGAATTTCTAATGAAAAAGCTTCAATTGCTAAGTATTTCAATACTTAGCAATTGAAGCTTTCATTTAGCTCCAACATGATGTACTCACAACTGCACAGAACACTCTCTCGATAATGAACGAATCTTGCAGTGTATTGAGAATGTTGTACAGGTGGCATTAGTGAGCAAATACATCAGCGCCGTCAACAGCTTTTGCAAAAATATATACATTTCAGTTCAAACATGCATTTTACAAGGTGCTAGTGTGTTTTTATTTAATCCCTGTATATTGTGGATTTTATTTTTTGAATGATTTATTCAATTATTGGTAATGGATAAACTGGATATTTTATGCTATTAACCTATAGTCAATAGCAAAGAAGCATGTTTTAAAATCCATAGGTGGGAGATAATTTTTCTTTCGACACAGCACTACAGGGCTAGGCCTAAGAGATACTTGTGGAAATTATAATTATATTCCTTAACATTTCTGCAATATGTTTTTCAATAATTCCTAAGTGTAATACCACAGCCAGAAACACATGCTGTTTTAAAATCTAAGAACCTCAGTTTAAATACTAGCTAACTCATTTGTATTCTGGTGGAGAAAATAAAGTGGAAGTTGTAGTAAATATCCAAATCATAAAAACCGGATTAATTTAAATAATAATAATTATACAAATGTATCTCAAAATCAGCCAGGAGTAATAATATAAAGTTAAATGACATACAGTTTTGACTACAGAAGCTGAAAAAAAGTAATGCATAAAAATAACTTGAAGCTCATATTTGTATAATCCTTTATTTTCTATAGTTTTTGTGAAACGTGAATTCGATAGGTGATTTTCCTTCAAGGGGGTTGAGAAAACAATGAAGGAAATTCTTGAAATTATTAAGAGAAAGCAATGTTCTGTAGTTGTGGTATTTGCTGGGAGGCATGCAGTTGTCTTCAAATTAAAGATTTTATACACCTTTGTGACATTTGAAATTGCTGTTCCTAGAGCTCGCACAAACTCTTAATTTTAGGGAGCTCCGTCGAAAGATCCCTGCATGGAATTGAACATCTGTGATTTTGTTTTTTGAGATCAGCTTCGCTGAGAAATGTGCCATAGAAGGATTGAGGTTTATCTGAGAGTTAAATGTTGAATTTGTATGTGTACGAAAGTAGAACAATTGGAGATTCTTATGTGGATGTTAAAACTGACAGAAGCAAGTTTGGAATGAAAAATATTTAAAGAGTGAATGGAACTCGGTTGTAAGGTGCCATTGAAAGGAAATTTGCTGGTCCCCCCCCCCAAGGTTGTTGAAGAAAACTGTTCTCAAAGTTGTCAAAAGACCCATAAAGCAGGGTTCTGTAATTTTCTCAGTTGGCTTGAAAGCATTAATTGTCTTCCAAGATTGTTTCGTGCATTTTTCTTGGTCTTTTATAGTATGTGCAGTTACGAACCCTGTTTCTTCACTCGGACTTTATTAAAGATTTGTGGAGCTCTATTAAATGATGTCTGCATGCAACTAACCACCTTTGAATTCATTTCTTTTGAGATTAATGTCTTGGAGAAATGTGTTATGCATGAAATGAGGTTTAGGAGAGTTATGTGTAAGAATGAATGAAGAAAGAAAAGTAGAAAGATAGAAGTTTTTTGTGATTCTTGAAATTGATGAAAGCATGTTCAGGGAGCAAAAATATGACCTTAGCAAAAGAGTGAATGGAACCTGACAATATGTATTCATTGTAAGGGGATCTTCCCTCTCCCCCAAGGTTGTTGAGAAAAGAATGAAGGAAGCTTTTCTCAAAGTTATTAAGAGAAAACATGTAATTGTCTTCAAGTTGAAGGTTCTGTACACTATTTTGGTCAATCATAGTGTGATATTTTGGTACCCTATCAGTAAGTGTCACAAAAACTCAAAGGTTTTGTGAGCTGCATTAAAAGATTTCTACATTGAACTGATCATCTGTGATTTAATTTCTTTTGAGATTGATATCTCGGAGAAATGTATCATGGATGGGATGAAGTTTTGTGGGGAGTTATGTGTTGGAATGGGTGTGTGTGAATGATAGTTCTGGTATGATTAAATTTGATGAAAGTGAGTTTGGAAAGCAAATACAGCCATAATAAAGAGTGAATGAATCTGGCTGTTATGAGGCATTGAAAGAAGTGACCCTAAGCTATTGAAGAAAGTATGAAAAAAACTCATTTTTAGACAACTTTCAGTAAGTTGTAGTGAAGATCAGTAAAGGTTTTAGGTAAAATAGTGTGACATTTAAGCACCATCTTTCTAAGACATACTTCATTAAAGATTTTTGGAGCTCTATTAACCCTTAGCGCTCCACACATTTTTGTACCACTGCCTACCAGCAACTCCGGCACATTTTCGCAGGATTCGATGTTTTTAAAGGCAGCATCCAGAATATCTGCATAAATCTGTTTCTTGTAAATATTTTATCAAAAAAAGGGATGTGAGTATTCTCCTTAACTGACCAATAATCCTGCATATTCGCCAGGGATATCGTACCCACATTGATAAGAACTCCAGTAAAAGCCCAAAACTCATCCTCTTCCACCGCACGCCATGTTTTCCAAATAGAATTACTAGATATTTCTTTAGAACATTTTCTGCGTAATTGTTGGTTTCTTTTATAATTTCATTTACCAGTTTGTTTTTGAAGAATAATTTGAGATATTGTGCCGGCTGTACAATATTTGTAGGAATTTGTAGTCCAATGTCCATTGGCGATACACTAAAATGTATTCTATCCAGAATATCTTAATTCTTTCATGACATCGCGCCATTCATCTAAGTCTTCTGGTGACTCTTCGCTTTTACTTTCAGTAACTACCATTAGTCGTCTCTTTGGTAGTATAATTTCGGAATCACTACTTGAAGTGTCAGAATTATAATCAACATTGCTTTCTACAATATCTTCTAACAATGAGAAATCAAACACATCTTCATTATCGCTCAACTCTATATTCTCATCACAGTAATTATTTTTCTCCATGTTGCTAACTATAAAATGGGTCAAATAATGTTTGTCGTAACAGCAGTGAGACTGAGTACGTTTTAACTACAGATAACAATTGCCAACGCCGAACGATGTAACATCTTAAGCGTAATCATGCTAAAAACATTGGGCTCCGCAACGGAGCCTACAGAGTTATGGAACAAATGGCAGACGGCTCCGCAGCGAAGCCTACCGAGTTATGGAACAAATGACGGACGGCTCCGTAACAGAATGAACGGAGCGCTAAACGTTAAGATCTGCATGTGGAACTGATGACGTGATTTCGTTTCTTTTGAGATTGTCTCGGTAAATTCAGCTTTCATTTTTTAATTCGCACGAAGAACTCTCATGTTAAGGGACTGGCAAAAAAGCCAACCTACGCAGAGCTTTTCTCATGTCAGGTCGACTATAAATGACAGTCATTGGGACTACGCCAAGAGCTCTGAATAGGATTGCTACTGTATTGCAATTAATAAAAAAGTATGTGGTGTTGCTTAAATAATGGGGGTTGCAATAATAAGGAAATACCTTTTGTGCTCTTAACACAGTTCTGTTTCCTTTATTTTCTATTTTGTTTTTGTGATTTTTACCTATTTAAAAGTGTAGAAAATTGAAAAGAATTTAGCTTATATATCTAAATGTGTAGCAAATCATTTCGTAAAATTTTCTGAAATTATTTACAATGCTAAAATGATAAATAAAAG